CGTGGCTGGCGCCTTAGCCGGTTGAGCTATAGGCGCCGAGCCTATTTCTAGATTCTTGATTTGGAATATCATAATCTAAAGAAGTTTTTGCCAATTGCTTTTGTCTATAACCCTAGCACTTTGGGAGCCTGAGATGGGTGGATTACTTGAGCTCAAGAATTCAAGACCAGCCTAAGCAAGAGCAAGACCCCAACTCTACCAAAAACAGAAAAACTAGCTGGGCACTGCAGTAGGCACTTATAATCCTAACTACTTGAGAGGCTGAGGCAAGAGGATCACTTGAGCCTAGGAGTTTGAGGTTGCTGTGAGCTATGTCACAGCACTATCTAACCAGGGGGACAAGGTGAGACTCTGTCTCAATACATAAATAAATAAATAAAATAAAGAAGCTTCTGTCAAAAGATAGGAGACTCTTTATTTAATCTAGGACTCTAAAAGCAATGACAACATTCATCAAAAGATAAGCCTCAGGGTCCAATGTAAGTACTCTCTATAGTTCAATGATCACAATTTTTTTTTTTTACCTGTTTATCTGCCACTGTTATTTTTTCTTCATTATCTGGCAAATTATTTCTTTCGAAATTCAATTCTCCGAGCTACATTCTGAGCACCAAATTTTTTGATCAATGCATCCCTGGTATCCTTATCATCTTTTTGCAAGTCTATGTCATCCTGTCGGGACCAAATGGGGTACCCATCAGCTCTCTGACCAGATGCTAAAAAGGAGGAAGTAGCCTCTAGCTCACCACTATTTTTTAGGAAGGCCTGTGTAACTGTTGATAGATCCAAGTTAAACTTTTCCATTAACTGCCGGATGATCTTAATGGCAGCTCCCACCTCTGGTGAAGAAGCCTTTTCTTCTTCTTCTTCCTCATCAGGCTGTGTTTCTGAGTCTTCCTCAGGTGTGGGTGGATCATCATCACACATTGTTATATGTATTTCAAAATCAGGGCTCTTGTCCACCTAGAGAAAATGATGAGTAAGGCCAGCTCCTAATTACCAAGTCTGAACTTTTGCAATATGCAGTCTTTTCCAAAAACCACCCCCTTGCCCTCTGCATTCCAATCACACTGGATTTCCCTCTGCTCTTCTAATATGCTATGTTCTTTCTTACGTTTATTCACACTGGACACATGTGTATACATGTATGTAGGTAGACATAAGTGGGTATGTGGGAGGGTGGGAAGTGTGTATTTAAGTAGAGAATGTATATGTGTATGTGTATGCTTATGTATATACATGTACAATTGACTATGGTATTTCAACAGAATATAAGCAGCTACACTGAATATATACACATGTATTTACAGATTTATCTGTTAAATGTTTGGAAGGAAAAGGACTCCCAGGAAAGAAGGGGCAGCCTTCACAGAACATGTGGTTGTAGGGGTGGTGTGATCTGCACATTTACCAGGGAAATGTTAGCCCTCCCCATATGTGTCTCTCCTGGTCAAGGGCTGGCCACTCTTTTAAGGGGCATTTTCCTGAAAGTTTGGGCCCAAATCATGGGTGCACAGTATGCACAGGAGCATTATACACAGCAAAATACATGATGTAGGCCATGTTTGGGCACTGCTGAGTATTTGAAGTTTACAGAAAATGACCCAAATATGAAATAATAAAACAGACTACAAAAGGCAACAATCCCTAAATTCTTGCCAATTCCCATGCATTCCTTCAATCAATTACAGAAACTTTAAATTATTTCCCTTTAGCCTGAAACTTTAAATTATTTCCCTTTAGCCTGAAGCATTTTTCACCTTGTTAATAAGAAAAGTTAATTTTGACTTTTAAAAAATTACTATCATTATTTTATGGCTCCTGCCTTTTTAAACAGCTATTAGTATGGGATTCCAAAAACATACTAGAAGCTAGACTGAATGAGCTATAAGAGCTAAAATGTCTCAAAAAGCTCTAAATACACAAAAGGCTAAATTTGCTTGATAAGAAATTTACAACACTTTTTTTTCATTACATTTATGTTCCTGAAAAGCATAAAAACATTTAAAAGAGATAAATCCACAGCCCTAACTAAAAAACACAGAGATAGAATACTCAAAATAGGATACTTTATAGTGTTTATATTTAATTGTCTCCATTCTGTCTAATTTGTCTTCCTTTCCCTCTCAAGTTGTCTTGCCAAAGTTAAAAGCTTTGAGAGGCAAAGCTTTAGGACAACATGCCTAAAGCCAAGATGAGTCCTGCTTTCTGCCATCTCCCATTCTGAACTTTTCTTACCTTCTTGGGCCTCAAGTGAGTGGAAAGGGCAGCCAGGATAACCAGTCTTAAGGAAAAGCATGAGGTAGGGGCAAAATACAAGTATATTTAGTTAACTTACCACCACCTCCTCAAACTCCTGGGTGGCTTCCACAAGCATCTTTTTGACTACTTTTTCATTCTCCTTCATCTCTTCCTTCGCATATTCTTCTTCGGGCAAATCTGGAGTTCTCTTATTCTGTGGTTCTATTAAAGAGAAGACCACCACAGACTAGCATTAGCCTCTTTTATATAAACCAACAATGTAGGAAATGCTTTGTGAGCTCTAGGCCAGGAGTGAGCCTGCACTTTCTCTTCTATAATATTAGAAGACATAAGAAAAGCACAAAACGGGTGGCGCCTGTGGCTCAGTGAGTAGGGCACCAGCCCCAAATACCGAGGGTGGTGGGTTCAAACCCAGCCCCTGGCCAAACTGCAACAAAAAAATAGCCAGGCGTTATGGTGGGCACCTGTAGTCCCAGCTACTCAGGAGGCTGAGGCAAGAGAATCACCTAAGCCCAAGAGCTGGGAGTTGCTGTGAACTGTGATGCCACAGCACTCTACGGAGGGCAACAAAGTAAGACTCTGTCTCTAAAAAAAAAAGAGTACAAAACATATATACTCAATAATTTCTACACTTCTGAAAAGTTGTACTATCCAAATGTTGATACTATTCCTAGGCTCTGACATAGTAAAAATACTCAAGTTTAATTCATTTTTTGCTTTGTACTTACCAATTCTGCAGATAAACAAAAATGTAGTTAGAAGCAGATTCTGAAATGGAGATTAACATTTAGTGTTTATTAGGGAGTGTTCTTAGGAAAATACTCTGGCAGAAAAGGAAAGCAGGAGTGGGCAGACAGGGAAGCTGAGTTGTAAAAAAAACTCCAAGGAGGCCTCAGCCAAAACCATGAGGAACTCTGGAGCTGAGAACGCCCTTCAGAGTTAACCAAGCTGAGTCAAAAGAGTAGAGCCTTTATAACTCTGTACAGATCGGATACTGGATCCTGGCAGCCCTAAGATAGGGCATGGTAGCTTTCCCAGCAGGTGAAGACAGATCTGGGTGGTACACCACAGTCCACCACATACATCTACAAAAAGAAGGGACCTCCTGGATTTAAACATCCTCTTGTTTCTCCACTCACATTCTTTGAGGATTTAACTATACCCTTTCCTACTAAAATCTACTACAAAGGGGTAGCAAGAGAGTTTTTTTTGTGATGGAATTATTCTGTATTCTTATTTTGGTAGTGGCTACACAAATCTACACATGTTAAAACATATATATTAACAATTGGAAAATAATATGGCAGTTCCTGAAAAGATTAAATTCATAGAGACAGAAAGTAGAAAGGCGGTTTCCAGGAGGTAGGAGGAAGGGAGTCAATCAATGTTCGATGGACATAGAGTTTCAGTCTTTTTTCTTTTTGAGACAGCCTTAACCTGTCGCACTGGGCAGAGTGCTATGGCATCACAGCTCACAGCAACCTTAACTCCTGGGCTCAAGCGATTCTCCTGCCTTCGTCTCCCTAGTAGCTGAGATTACAGGTGCCTGGCTATTTTTTGGTTGCAACATCATTGTTCTTTGGCGGGCCCGGGCTGGATTCAAACCTGCCAGCTCAGATGTATGTGGCTGGTGCCTTAGCCATTTGAGCCATAGGCACTGAGCCATGGAGTTTCAGTTTTAGAAAATAAGTTCCAAAGACAGATGGTGGTGATGGCTGCTCAACAACGTGAATGTACTCAATGCCACCAAACACTTAATTTAAAATAGTAAATTTTGTTATATATATTTTAACACAATAAAAAAATTTTAAAAATGTGTATAGTTGTACAACAGGTCAATTTTACCAGATATACCTTAAGATAAACTTCAAAAAGAAGTCTTATCTTTTAGAGATATGTGCTAAATAAAATAGATAAAATATGATGCCTGGCATTTGCTTCAAAATAATTTAAGAAGTTGGGATGAAAAGTCTAGATGAAAAAACTGGCCATGAACTAAAATCATCAGGTAGAACTGATGTAATTTATTATATTCCATCTTTGAACATGTTTCAAATTTTCTATAATAAAAAGTGATGGGCTCGGCACCTGTGGCTCAAGAGGCTAAGGTGCCAGTCACATACACCTGAGGTGGCAGGTTCGAATCCAGTCTAGGCCTGTTAAACAACGACGGCTGCAACCAAAAAAAAAATAGCTGGGCGTTGTGGCGGGCGCTTATGGTCCCAGCTACTTGGGAGGCTGAGGCGGGAGACTCGCTTGAGCCCAGGAGTTGGAGGTTGCTGTGAGCTGTGATGCCATAGCTCTCTACCCAGGGTGACAGCTTGAGGGTCTGTCTTAAAAAAAAAAAGTTATGGTTCATTCACATAATAGAATATACCATGCTATCAATGAGAAAAGAATGAGGTAAAGCTATGTGTACACACACAAAGACTTCAAGATACACCATTAAGTTTAAAAAAAGAAAAGAAAGTAAACCGTAAAACTGATGTCTAGTGTACTAGTATCACCGTAAGGAATGAGGAGAACCCATGACAGAAAATGATAACTGTTGCCTCTACTGGCCAGGCAGGTTGGCTCCCGCCTGTAATTCCAGCACTCTGGGAGACTGAGGTAGGTGGAATGCCTGAGCTCACAGGTTGGAGACCAGGTTGCAGCCATCATTGTTGTTTGGCGGGCCCGGGCTGGGGATTCGAACCCGCCACCTTAGGTGTATGTGGCTGGCGCCTTAGCCGATTGAGCCACAGGCGCCGAGCCGAGAAATCTTTTTTTTAAATGAAAAGATAGATAAAAAAAACAAGAAGCCGGTTACCCCCGTGTGACCCATGGGTAAGAAAAGTGGGCAGCTGGTGGACAGAAAGGGCGTAATTGCATTTTCTATACATTTTTTGGACCCTCTGAACACAGAGCCAAGTGAATATCCTATTACTAAGAGAGTAAGTCAAAAAACAAGATTCTCAAAGGGAAGAAAGTGGTGCAAATTTACCCAGATGTCAGCAGGAGTCTGGGGGGAATCAAGCAATGTTACCAAAGACGCCCCAAACGGACGCCAGGCCGAAAAGGAGAACACGCCCCCCCAAACCCCCGCGCGCAAGCGTCCCCCAGGACCCGCAGGCGCTGCAGGCCTCACCCCCGCTGTCCGCGGCCTCCGGGTCCTGCTCCGCCTTCCGCTTGAGCTTCTGGGAGGAGGGGCTCACCGGGGCGTCCCCCAGCAGGTATTTGTGCTCCTGGCCCCGCAGGTGCTTGAGGTAGCGGTCCTTCAGGGCCTGCCACGAGTGCTGCGTGAGCGAGCTTTTCTCCATCGCCTTCCACAAGGCGTTGCCGGTGACGGAGCTGGGCGAGCGGGCGTTCTCCTTCACGTAGGTCAGGATGGCCACGTCGTCCGCGTCCGTGAAGGCGACGCGCCCCGCCAGCGGCTGCGGCTCGGGCTCCGAGGCGCCCTCCGCCGGGGCCCCCGGCTTCGTCTCCGGGGACTGGTCGACCGCGGGGGCGAGACCCAGCCGATAGGCCTCCAGCTCGAGCCTCGAGTTGCGCTCCACGCAGTCCACGATGTACTGCGTGGAGATGAAGTCGCCCGAGGCCTCGGCCAACGCCTCCCCGGGCTGGGCCAGCAGCACGGCCCCCGGCTCCTGCACCCTGCACACGGTGCCGCCGCCGTGCAGGATGAGCGTCGAGAGCCGGCGCTTGGCCGGGCTGGGCCGCACGTAGAAGCACATAGAGCTGCCGTCCTCCCTCACGAACAGAGTTGAGGAATGGGTGGGTCCGTAGGGGTCTTTGCCTAAATCCATCGCCTCCGCCATGTCCGACGCCTGACTCCACAAGCGCTGCCCCCGAACGAGAACCTGACGCGCCGAGGTCTCTCCACAGACGCCGCGGCCGCGAAGCACAGCAGTGCGCCTGCGCGGCAGGGCGCCCAGAGCACCGCCCCTCCTCCCCGGAAGAGGCGGGGCTTCGAAACTTAACCTGGAAATTAACGTGTTGCTGTGGTCACTTTTGGGTCGGGCTCTGCTAGAAGATGGCTGCCGTGGAGGGGGCTGAGGTGAAAGTAGACGGCGCTGAACCGAAACTGAGCAAGAAGTAAGTGTCACCTCGGGTCATTAAAGCCTTTGTGGTAAGAAGAGTTCGGGCTGGGAAGCGCCTGAATGTCCGTGCTTAGGCGGTTTGCCTAGAGCCTTCTTGCCGGCGCTCGAAGGCACATGCTGGGACGTAGCTTCGCCGCCCGGGGAACTACACACCCCGGGATGCTCCGGGGCCACTGGCTCCCGGCTCCCAGCTGGTACTGACGGGGTCCCCCCCGCATCTTACTCCTAGAGTAAAAGAATGCGGGGGAGAAGCTAGCTACCACTAGAACTGAGTGGTGTCTGAAAAGGAAAGCGAAACTTACTGCTCTCTTTCTTCCAAGACGTGGATTTTTTTATTTAGCCAATTCACAATGAGGAGGTTGGAGAAATGTTAATACTTTGGCTTTTCAGAAGAGCAATCAAATGTTTCGTGGTCTCTCCAAGGTCATTCTGAACCTTGTACATTAAAACGAATCAGTTCTGAAAATGTGCACCTGCCTATATGGGTTATCCGAAGGATCTGTGAGTGTTGAGTGGTCAATGTCTAATAAGACAGACCGTTCTATTCAGCCTGGTATCTTTTTTTACCATCCCAAACTTTTTGAGTCTGTAGGTTGACATAAGTAAGTCAAGATTAGCTGTGTATATTCTCTTTGGGGTTCCACAGTTAAACCACAGAACACAGGCAGTGACTTATTTTGTTCTCAATGCTAGAAAGAATGGTACATAATTAGTACCATTCTAGAGGCATAGGAGAGAAGTTGTGCTATATACAATGGCTGCCTAAATGTATTAGGGCTTAACCCTCCTGCTGAGTCCTGAGAGAATTATTCTAGGCACTCAGGTAAGGATTTATGTTTCTTTTTGTGCCTCTGGGTTTATGCTTCAAATATTTTAGGAAAATGATACAGGAAATGTCTAAATTTATGGTTTGATAGCACCTTAATACGTTGTCCTTTGTTAGGGCATTCTGATAGATTTCCATAAATGTTTGGAACCTGGTCTTATTCTTCCTTAGAGAAAATTGATGGGACTTTGATCTGTTACATCAAATTGCACTGAGTCGGTAGCTCAGTGTATCTGGGCACCGGCCAAATACACTGAGGCAGTTGGGTTCGAACCCGGCTGGGGCAGCTAAAACAACAGTGAATTCAGTATATCTGACTTACAGTGCTAAAGTTTAGTGTATTCTTTTAAACCACCTATGGCAATCAGATTACGGTGAGTTGTATTTAAGACCGTAAATCACGTACGAAAGGAAGGTTTCCAGTTCACAGTGAAATAATAACGTAAATTGAGAAAACCAGTTAATTCCTTTCTACTGACTTTACTAAGATTAAATACAGGTGCTACTTTTTTGAGCAGCTTTTATGTGCCAGACACAATGCCAGATCTCTAAAAGCTTTCTGTCTAACCTCAATAATAACTTGGCAAGAGAAGAATTAATATTCATTTTTCAAATTAATAAACTGAGGCCCTGGGTCATTAGATGTATTGCTAAAGTATTTGTTCTTAAAGTGTGCTCCAGCACTGATCTAAAGCACTGAAGCAGAGATCTAAAATCAAGTTCATAACTCCACATCCCGTGCTCTTTATAGCTGTACTTGACTATCTCACATTGTCTATAAGAATCTATCATTGATGTAGACTCAATGACCTGAGTCTAAGCTAAAAGTAAAATTTTTTTATGATTAACGTTTCTTTCTATTTAGTTTTCCTTGGAATTTTCTTGGTCTGAAATCTTTAGTGAGCATACTTAATGCCAAGTATTGTCCCCAAGTTTAAAACCAGATGTGCTGCCTGCTCAAATGACTTATCTCAACACAGTGAAGAGTTTCCTGCAATTCCATTGCCTTCCACTATTAATGATATAAACATAATGTAGTCTTAAGACCCTTCCTGGAATTCTCCTTTCCTCCTCATTCCTACAATAACAAACAAGTTCTATTTTTGAGTGAGAAGTGTTTTAGTGTGACTTGCTTTTAGTTTTGCCTAGAGTTTGCAGTGGTAGTGATGGTTCCTTTTTATTTTATATGCTTCCCATTGCCATACCGTGGCCAGGCATTTCATCTCCAGGAGAGAAACCACACCTTAGGGGCTTCCGAAACACTGCCTTACATCCTGTCTCCCATATTCTAGGATGTTGTGATCATTTCTACCTGTAAGCTAGTGATTGACTTATTGTTGACTTTTGATGCCAAATGGCTATAGTCCTACTATTTCCATAGTGAGGACTGAGGACATTGTCAATTACAATTGTAGCACAGTGCATGTTACAGGGTTGGTGTTGGATAAGAGGATGTTAAGTTAAATGGGACACTAAAAGGTAGCATAAACACAACACCCTAAGAGAGCTAGTTAGGTGTATGTATACTATCTGTCCCTTCTGACATCACATCTCTGTGTTTCCTGCTAGGTGGTGATAATCATTAGTTCCAGGGTGTTCTGCCATGTTGACGCAAGCTGCTGTAAGGCTTGTTAGGGGGTCCCTGCGCCAAACCTCCTGGGCAGAGTGGGGTCAGAGGGAACTGCGACTGGGTCAACTTGCTCCTTTTACAGCGCTTCACAAGGACAAGCCACTTTCTAATAAAAGAAGGTTGGTGCCTGTTACCTTCTTTATTGCTCTGGGAGCAAAGATCTCTGCCCTACTAGGTTCATTATCTGTTAAGCCTTTGGACTTCCTACTAAGGAAACATGCTTACTACCAAAACTGATAGTCCTCTCTCATTTTCTCTTTAATAAATTCAAATTCTCTCTTCCTTAGTTCTTTGAGATGACTTGCAGGTCTTATTCTATGTAGAACATTGCTGAGAACAAAATCGTTGTTTGAATAGGAGTTTCTGATGCCAGCTGTTTTCCCCTTTCTGTTTTTCAGGGTTTTGTTTGTTCTTGAGATTAATTTGATTTCTAGTAGTAGTGCTCTCCCTAGGACCTTTTCAGATTATCCTTAGGATGGATTTTATTTAAGAGGAACACCTAGTTGAATGGAAACAGGTTTATCTTAATTTAGGACGTACTAGATAGCTTGGCTTCCTTATATGACCACCAAATGATAGGTCTAACACACTATTTTGGTAAGATTGTCTTTATGGCTTTAATAAGACAGGTTGTATCTGGGAAGAGTTGCTGTGTTGGAAACCATCAGAATCAGTTTTTCTTACTTAAAAGATGAGAGATTCAAATACCCTCCCCCCCCCTTTTTTTAGTTACTCTATGCTCATACTAAAAATGAAGGATATGCCCGAAGCCAAACAATATGCAGGCATGGCTTGGGATCTTCTGCCTTGGTTCACTGTGGTAGAATATTTGATTATCATTAGTGGTCTGAAAGAATGATCCATAAACTCTCTCTGAATAACAGAGGTATCCGTTTTTACCCAAATCGGTTGTGTTTCTAGGTTCAGATAGCAAGTTCAGATCATAAGGAATACTGAGTTGTCCATATCACTTTGGTTTTTCGAGTTTCAGGTGAAAGTGAAACTGGAATTGTTGCCTTATCATGTATTAGATATGGTGCCAAAGGAACTTTATCTTTGGACAGGACATACCAAATGACTAAGATTTAGTCCCTATCAAGCGGTTCCCTAACCTAGTTAGCTCAGGAAAAGCCTAGTGTGCTAATTTTCTAAAAGACTTTTTTCCTAAATATAAACTAATATGTGAGATTTTCTTTGTTCTGGTACATCTTGATTTTATAATAGTTGGGACGTACTACTGCCAGTGACCTGAGGCTGAAAAGCAAAGACCGAGAATGGTCTTTCACATCTTTGTTCAAAGCTTATTTTTTTCACTGTATTTCTTTCATGTATAGAGTTTTGTGATTATGAGACTGGTGTTGAGGGTGTCAAATTGGGGGTGTTGAACTGAGCAAGGTCATTTCCCCAGGTTATTCTTACTGCTGATAGTGGCTATGGGGTAGAACACTGTGAGGGGTTCTTTAGGCAGCTTTCCCAATGAACACTTTCATCTTCCCAACAGTGAGCTAAAGAGACGCCTGAAAGCTGAGAAGAAGGTGGCAGAGAAGGAGGCCAAGCAGAAAGAGCTCAGCGAGAAACAGCTAAGCCAGGCCACTGCTGATGCCACTAACCACACCACTGACAATGGAGTGGGTGTCGAGGAGGAGAGCTTGGACCCAAATGTGAGTCTCCTGGGCCCCTGGCCTGGCTGGGCACAAGAAAGCTCCCAATGAAGTTTATGGCAAATGTCTTGAGACTGGCAGGTCCTGGTTACTACCAGCGGATAAGGGAGTGCCTGCCACTCCATCTAGGTTAAAGCCACAGGCCCTGAGTATTTTTTTTTTTTTTCATCAAACTCCAGTAGGCATTTGGGAAAATCAAGTACTCCCTGGAGCTAGCTGGGCCTTAAATAAGGCCCAGAGAAACTATCTCTCTGAAAATGGACTAGGGTTTACTTTAGACTGGGGTTGGCAAACTATATTCCATAGGGCAAATTCTCCTCCTCTCTATTTCCCCACTTCATCTTCCCACTCCTTGGATTTGTAAATAAAACTGTATTAGAACACAGCCATGCTCGTGTTTACACATGTCTACAGCAGCAGAGTCGAGAAGTTGCATCAGAAAAAAAGTTTGCTGACCCCTGCTGTAGAGTATTCTTTTTTTTTTTTTTTTTTTTGAAACAGAGCCTCAAGCTGTCCCCCTGGGTAGAGTGCCGTGGCATTAAAGCTCACAGCAACCTCCAACTCCTGGGCTCAAGCGAGTCTCCTG